ATATTATATTACAAAATGATATTATGTAATGTGATATGATTTCATTTTGTTGCTTCCTTTCTTTTCATTGTTTCCTCATACCACTCTAGATCAATTCATTTTTCATTTTTTATTTTAAACAAGAAAAAAATAATAAAATGGTAAAAGATAAATGATATACAAAGGTCGAATTTAATGTAATTTTACATGATTAGATTTGAATGATGATGTTTTGTCAGTATAATTTTATTTTACCCAAGTATTTTTCGAATTTTTTTCCTTTTATTCAAAAATTCAACTTATTTATTTATATATTTATATATATATATGTATATTTACAAAAATTAAAAGATGTTTTAGCGTTTACCAATACAATTTACATACATATATAAATGTAATTTTGATAAATCGATTCTACTGTAATAATCATAGCCGATACATTGTATATTGGCTGTATGTATGTATATATGTATGTATGTATGTATATAACAATTATTATTATTATACTCGTATTAATAAAAAACAAAAGTCGTTGAAAACTTTTTACTTTAGGTAATAACAATTTCATTTTAGAAAATATGAAAAAAGTTATACTTAAATTGCTATTGAAACAAATCAAAAAAGTTATCCTTATATAATCTTTGTTTACCATATAATATGAATTTATGAAAGTATATAAGAATTACGGGATTTTATATTTAATATTTTGGTTATTCTTATTTAATTTGGTAATATAAAAGTTTTGATTTATATATAAGATAATAATAATGTACCTAAGAACGTACGGAAGTTCTAATGACAGAGACAAAATTTTTGGAATCATCCCTCATATCTAAGTTGCTCGGAAAGCTGTGAAACATTTTTTTCTGTATACAATTAATTATTATGTTTAAATCCAACCTGACTAATGTTCAATTAAACTATGGTAAATGATAATTTTGAATGAAAATAATTAAAATAATGAACTGTATCCCATCCTTAATAAGTTAAGAGCTGAAGAAAAGCTAAAATAAGCACTTTATGCATTTAAAAAGTTGATTCGCCTTTAGAGCCTTTAGAGTTAAAAAATAATTAAGCGTACTTAAGGTCAAGACTTAGCGTACTTAACACTAGATTACCCAAAGAAGTCATTTTGACTGCTTTTTAATTTCAATTAGAAAAAAAGTTATGTGTGCAATGATATAATTTCATAAAAGTTTATGACTTTTTGTACAACATAAAAATGCGTTCATTGGTAATTGTACTTACCTCCCCCCTTCCTCATTTCCGGTATATATATGTGTTACACCTATATAACCCAAAAGCAGTCATTTTGACTGCTATTGAAATTTAAAATAATCAAATGACTTATTATTGAACTGAGTAAATTTCTTATATGACAATATTTCAGCTTTGAATATTTCGGAAGATTTCTTCCCCAAACTTGAAATATATTGCCATCCTAAACTGCTGTTTTTCAAAGAGTTTGATTCTGGCGCGGTAAAAGGGGTTGACGTTGTAGTTTCAAGCCTTTCAACTGTACACAAACCTCCGTGGTGCAATACTATAGCATTTGCTGTGGCCTTCTTATGGTTGTATGAAAAACATCCTTTGTTTTCAATAACATTCACATTCATTTCGTTATTACATTCTCAAAAAACTTTTTTTTTCAAATTTAATTTTGACAGTTTTATACTTATAAACAGTGTATTTCGGCACTATTTTCGAAAACTAATTTTATTCTTAATCCGTACTAATATTTTTAAAATTTCCATAATTTAAATCCTTATGATAGAGTAAAAAGCACGTCTATAATAAAATTATTCTTCAAATATTTTAATTTGAAAATCATCTTTAAATCTTAAAAAACAGACATAATAAAATGTTATGTACACGAACTGTTCACAAATATATAAAATAAATTTTAATGGCTATATGTGTATACATAACTGTGTATAAGGTCCGAATAAGCCAGTCTATACCCGAAATATTTTAATTCGATTGGATTTTTTTTTCCTCGCGAAAAAGTTTTCAATAAAAAACTTTTTTAATTATTTTTTTACTCGTCAATGCTTTCTTTTTTTTCTCGAATTTTTTTTATTATATTTACTTTAATCCTCGTCTAAAATTACTTATTGAAAACAAAAAAAAAAGTTTTTATAAAAAAATATACAATTTTATAGTGAAATATATAGATACAAAAAAACATGCATACATATAATTGTTATATATGTATAGGATGTGTCCATAGTGGTGCATTGACATATACCAAGTGTGTAAATTTTCGTTAGTAAAATCATTTACTGTATGATTTTACTAACGAAAGGTATAATATGCGGCTGATATCTTCTCCTGTTTCTTTTTGAGGACGTTTTAAAAGAGCCTAATCGAATAAAATTTTATTGTTGATTCCATTATTTTTCAAAATGTTTTTATTGAAATTAGAGAGCGCAAGTCGGACTTTCTGAATCTTCAGAAACTGTTGGATAGCTGCAATATTTCGTTACCCGCAAAATTACCATTAATTAAAAAAAAAAACCAAAAAATTTTTAAAAATTCTTTTTTCAAATGGTTACGGTATCTAAACTAAAAGTGTTTTACAGTTCCTATTGAATAATTTATTGCACCATCTTTCTAGCACATGGTTCAAAATACTGTTACATCTGTCATACACTATATATCAAAATTATAATCAGAGGATGTTTTCAATAAAATTTGACTTTAATTAGAAGCGCTACACGCTAATATCGCAATGGACTACTATACAGAAATCACTCTGTATACATCCATGATTTCAAAAGCGTCAACATTAAATATTTTATTAATAGATAATCTGGAACAAAAAAAAACAAAGTAAAATTAGAAAATTTAAATTAGAAAATTCAAGGTAAAAACTAATTAAATAACAATTTCCTTTTATTAAAATAAGATATTTGAGAAAAAGTTTTCGTATCCAACCTACAAAACCATAAAAAATATACCAGAGTACCGGACAACAAAATCCTATTTATCAATGTCCTTCGCCATATAATATATCCTATATAAATGTCAACAGAAAAAAAAATCATCAGAGATTAATTCTATGTCAGATTAAAAAATGAAAATAGAAAAAAATAGTAAAAATAAAATTATTTCTGGATTAAAGCTTATGTACTTGTTTTTTTTATTGCTAGCTTCCAATACAGCTTTAAAAAAAAAGTTTGTTAAAAAAAATACTTAGCTTTTTAACAAACTAATTAAAATTAGAACTATGTATATAACAGTTAACAAAAAGTTTGAAAAATTCAAAAAACTTTTCACGACAACCAGGGTTTTTATCTTAGACTGTCGAAATAATCTAAACTTTGTACCCTTAATATTTAAAAATTAAGAAACTTTTTAACAAAACTAGATAAGCTATTCAAAAAGATTTAATATGTATGTATCAAATTTTTTCAGTATCTTATAAGACAAAATATGGATTATATAATACAGAGTTCCTATATATAATTGAGCTGATTTTCGTGATCACTTGACCCTCCATAAATTGAAATTCTTTATATAAGTATAATTAATTATATAATGAACTCTACTTCTTATCTGAATTACCTTCATGCCAAATGGAATTAAGTTTTCAAATAGAACTAAATCAATGGAAATTTCTTCATACAACTGCAGAACAGATGGATGACGTAATCAAAGGAACCATTTACAGAACGGAAAAATTAAAAAGTTATTCTCCTCGATCAATTAAACGTCCGCCTAGAAAGCGGTAGGTAACTGGTTCAAGTCTAATTCGAAAAGAAAAATTTTTTAATTTTTCTGCCTTTACCTCGTTCCTTTGACTACGTCATCCATTTGTTCTGTAGTTGTATGAAGAAATTTCCATTGAGTTAATACTTTTAGTGTAATAGGTACAATACTTACTAAATAAACAATTAAGATAATTGAAAAAAACCCAAAAACACACAAAGATACATTTGCCACTGAATATTCGTGATAAACCTTATTAGTAGAACGAAGGCTGGAAGGAAAGTTTCAATTCCTTGGAATTTATCTTATCCCTCAGGTACAACTATACATATTATTTTAAAATTAAATGTTTCTTCAATTCGATTATTCATGTTAATTATAAAAGGTACGTAACCTTTAACTTAAGGACAATATGAATATTCAAACTTTCTTTATATATTTTTCTTAATTAAATTTTGAACAAATTTTCTGTTAAAAATTGGAGCACAATATACCAAAGCTTTATGTTTAAACAGTGGGTTTTTAAAACATTGGCATTGAGAGAAATTTCATTACATATCTAAATCCTTATTGTTTCATAACTAGCGATATATTATTAAAAACAAATTAGCTCATGAAAATTTTTTTGACAAATTTGTCCTCATTGTTTATTTTGTAATTTTAAACAGTAAATTCATAGTGAAATTTTTAACACTCCCATATAATATTTTTAATAGATCAAATTTTTAAAATAGAAACTTCAAAAATTTCTTTATTTCCTTTTTACACTTAAAAATCACTTCAAAACATTGAAATAATTTTTAATGAAACAAGATATGCATTAAATATTTTAAAAATTTTATGTTATGATGGCAAATATAGTAAGGAAATTGGAAAATATAAAAAAAATGGGAACAGATAAACAAACACTGTTGAAATAATCTTAATTAGTTGAAGTAATAAATCATTTTCGCCATCTTTTATTATGAAACTCCTCTAAATTAGTTGTCGGATTTTGGTTTTATATAATTCTTTCTTTTTTCATCACCATTTTTATTTGGTGTTTTGCTGTTTTTTTTTTTTTTTTGCATTAATAAAAATAACAGCTTATAAAAATTCCATCACAATATTTTTGTTTTCTCACAAATTTTTTATTTCAATTTTTTTTACTTTATTTTTAAAATACACCAACAAAATATTGTGTTTCTTTTTCCACTCTCTTACTACATATTATTATATATAACTAATTTTTATTTACATATATTTTTTATATAAACAAATAAAAATATTTTCTTACTTTTGTTTTTTTTTTCGTTTTTTGCATTTTTCAGATGCACCACCATCGTTACTTTATAGTTTCATTGAACAAACTTTGCAACCCGGACCAGCCGTTAGTTTAAAATGTTCAGCAACCGGAAATCCAACACCACAAGTTTCATGGACGTTAGACGGATTTCCTCTTCCATCAAATGGAAGGTAATTGAACTTAATGTTGAAAATTTGTTCTTATTTTTGTTTTTCTTTTTTATTATATATTTTTTAGCTTTTTTATTTTTATTTAAAGAAAAACGGTGAAAACAAACAAAAATAAATTTTTTTTTTAAATTCTTGTACATATAAATAAGCGGTACATATGTACATACTATATAATACAAAAATTTTTACTTTTATATATATATATAGTTATACAGAGTGATTCATTAACACTTTTGTTATAATTACTCTGTTGGTTTTAATTATTAAAAAGAAAAAAATTTAATTGGACATTTTTATTTGAATTTAAAATTAAATTTTTAATAAAAGGAATTTTATTTTTTTTTTAATTTTTGCATATTTTTTATAAAATTTTATTAATAACTTGCGAATAGAGAAATATTGTGGCAAAAGTTCATTACCCTCTTAAAAAAATTAGGTATTCCTACACGAATAATTCAAAATAAATTTTTATAATAAATTGCTTCGTATAACAGTTTTAACCAAATTTATCATATAAATGAGTAATTAGAAAAAAGGCTCATATACAGATTTGAAGGATCTTTCTCTACCAAATCAGGTGCAATTTTAAAAACATTTTAAGACATTTTACTAAATATGCCTTACATTTTCACGGGAACATTATATAAATAGATTTTCAAGTTCTAATTCTAAATTTTTGAAACCATTATATTTAAAAACACGAAACTATATATCTACTTTAAAATAAATTTGTAGAACATTAAGCATAGCTGAAAATTTATTACTGCAATTAAAAACATTAAAGTTCGCATTAGTGTAATTTTTGTTTGGTATCAATAGCATTCTTGTATGAATGATCGTATGCCACAAACGTTAAAAACAAATCCCATACAACTATAACATGAATATACATTATGTATAACATCATAATAAAATAATGTAATATGTGTATGTTTTTTTTAAAGTTGAACAATTTGTATTAAATGCTAGTTTTTATGGATATGAGCAAATATTTACTCATTCATTTAATGCCAATATTTTTTAGTTATATACATTTTTAACTTTTTTTACATTATTTAGTTTTGTATACAAAAGCGCATACATACGTATACGTGCACATATTAATATTTAAGTTAAATACTAAATTCTATAGAAAAAATTAAAAAGCAAAACAAAAAAGTATAAAAACAATGAAAGAAAAAATTCAAAAGTTACGATAATTACTCAAAATAAAAAATCTAAATAAAATAGTTTTCGCAAACACAATAATGTTACGATCTAATACCAAAAATATTCTATTGAAAATCTTTAAATTCTTTTCGAATGAATGAAACTATACTAACAAATCATCTAAATACGCAAACAACAATAAAAGTTTATAGACTATTTATTTTTAAAAATTAAATTTCAATAAAATTTTGCAACAATTCTTTGCAAATATTACACATTTACAAGCTCTTATCCACATTCCTATTAATTGACGTTTTCACATTTTGTTCTTAACACAAATACCATATATATATATATAAACGGTGGTGTGCTTTTTATTTAATCCTTTCAATGGATTTAAACATTTGTTTTATACAAACATACAAACTGCAAATAAAATGCTTGTATATATACACAAAATTACTTTTATGTATTCACGAAAAAAAAAACTATAACATTGAGGGTGTATGCAACCCTTGCATACAATTTCTTTCATACAAATATCTTATTCATTCGTTTTCATACAAAAGTATTCACATGCTATAGATACATACACGGTGTACACATTCGTGGAATTTGTTGGCAAACAGAAAAATAAACCGAATTTTTAAAAAAAAACAGAAAAAATTAAAGCTTTTATTAATTTGTTTGGATAAAAAAAATCCATTTTAAAATTATTAATTTTTTTTGTTTTCGTAAATTTTCATAACAGGAAATTTTTAATACTTAGTAGACACAAATGGTACCATTTTACCACAATCATTACCAGTATTTTCGCTTCAATCTAGCTCAACGTAGAAAATGGTGTTCGGAGAGATGAAGAAAACAAGAGTCACTTTAGTTAATTTTTCTTTATTAATAGAATTGTAACCATTATTTCTAAAAACATTGCATATGTTAAGGCGCAATGTAAACACGGTCGGATGTAAAACATGTAAACACGGTCGGATTTGTAACCTTTTTGAAAAAAAAAACGATTCACTCAATATTCAACCACATTATGATTTTAAAATTCCAACAATTTTATGTTTATTTCGACCCCTATGTATCATCTATTGGCTTTTATAAGACATTGACTTGAATAAAAAATGGAAATCAAATTTTGAGCTTGTAGCATAATTAATCGAGTTTTCTAACATTTTACCCAGCAAATGATTTTCTCTAATAAAAGCGAAAAAAAAATCAAAAACCAAAAAAAAAAAGAAAAAAATTCTACAGATTCAAAAAAACATCCACTATGAACACTAATATACAGAAAAGCAAACAAATATAAATCACATTGAAAACATTGAAAAAACGAGAAAAAATACAGTTGTCCGTGTCAACTCTGTGATACCCGTACGAATTTGTTATCTTATGTGCAAATAAATATGCCATAGCTGACTATGCGGCAGACACTATAACCTTAGGTTGCTAAATTACCATATTAATTTATGCAAAATTTCAGTACTGTGTTTTTAATATTTTCTAAGATATGGCCAAACTACTATTGAAGTTGTATGGCTACTACAACAACGAGTCAAAAAATTTCGATGATTTTTATAACACATATCACATTTATTGCTCTAAGAATACACTTGTTTTCACGAGATTTTTATATTATAATTCAAATAATTTCTGAGATAAAGCCAAATAACTTTTGAAGTTGTATGGTGGCTACACGATTTAAATAGGGTTCTGGCACTTACTATAATAAACCATTTCTGAAAATTTGGTGAACTTAGCTCATTTAGTTTTTGAGTTATCGCTGGGACGTAAGGACGGACGGACGGACGGACCAAGCTAAATCAACTCAAAATTCGGACCTGATCAAAGACATACACTTGAGTCTATACCCCAGTTCATTATTTCTTAACGTTACAAACGGTAAGGCAAATTTAGTAAGCCCTTCGAACATACGGTCGTACGGTTATAAAAAGGAGAAAAAAAATTCATATATTTTCAAGCGAAAATAATTTTAATTAAAACCTTGGTAGATGAGAAGCTAACGAGGTAATTAAAAAGCGTAAGTACTTTTTACCATCGTTTTGCAATATACAATGTGCAAACGTTTGTCTAACAAAATTCAGTCTGAACATTTTTTTTGTGTATTCGTATACGAACAAAGAATAGCGGTATAAAAAGTTTTTTCAACATTTATAGATATACATATACAAATTTTTATAAACAAATACCCTTTACATGTAGTACTTATACAGTCGATACCAAATATATCGCACCCGCAAAATAACGCTTTAATAAAGGTTTTACGATTTCTAAATTCAAAATTTACTAGTACACGATATTAGAAATTTCATATTACGACTTAAAAAAATTATGCGATATTAGAAAAATTATGAATTTTTACGATATTAGAAACTAAATATAATAAACTATATAATTCAATAGAATAATGTATAATGGAAATTCGATATTATAATCCTATAAAATATTATATACGGTACGATATTGGTTACGTGATATTAAAAAACGAATCCGAATATTAGTGATACAAACTGATATTGCCAGAAAGTCAGAATACTATAACAATTCACAATATTATAAGATGATATTATATTATACGACATTAAGTCTTAACACTTAAGGTCACTCAAACAATATTAAAAAACTGATTACGTTATTAGAAAACTTGTACAGTTTAATTTTAAAGTGTTTTAAAATTTTGTTTTAGAAAAACTATAACTGAAAAGTTTACTTGTTCAATTTAAGATGCAAAAATTTAAAAAAAGAATTGAGCCCAATTTATTTTATAGAACTCCTCAAAATTATCTCAAAATCGGCCTGAATTGTTCAAAATCAATCAGGTAAAAAAAAGTATTTCGTCTGGTTAATGTTGTAGTTTTTTCAAAATATTGAATTGTGGCAGTGTTACTCTATGGGTGTTATATTTAAAGTATTTGTACATTGGCAATAAATAGATTTATATTATGTATGTATATATAGGTACAGAAAAAAAATCATAGTGAATGAATACTTAAATACCGTTATTTTCCTTTTTCTCCTTTTCATTATTGTTTTCATATTTTTACCGACCACATTGAATACAATAAAGGAGGTTATGTGATGGCACCTAATTAAACATATCGAGTTTTCGATGGAAACACACTTCTCCACGGCAGAAAAGCGAGATCAACTATTTTTAGCAAGATGTCGGTAGGTTTGTTTGTCTGTACGTGGGTGTGTACCTCAAATTCGGCTAAAATGATTTTCATAAACATTTATAAACACATGAGTTTATTTCGGCTATCCTTTCTAGGTGTGTTAACCAAAAGTTTACTAAAGTACTTAAAATTTGAGTTGCGTTTTCATAATCCTGTGCATCACTTTCGCTAAATTAGGTCATACACCTTGCGGTCTGCTGTGTGCTGACCACACCTTTTTTTCCTTTAATTTTTCATTTATTCTTACTATATACTTCTTGGGTCGCTTTTTATTTTACCTTCTGATACCCCCCATATACTAAAGTTATAATTGAGAGTCTTTTTATACTACTGGTTTCTGGCTTATTCAAAAAGCAGATAAAGCGTAAAAATTTAAAGGAAGTAAAGTCCAACAGAAAATTCTACTGATTCACATCATCGCTAGCTAATAATAACCATGAAATAAATAAATGTATATTCCTAGAACCTGTACACATAAATCTACCCCACAACTATATTAAAAATAATCTTTAGAATACCATAAGTTTTAAGATAAACAAAATGTAAGATCAAATAAATGCAATAACAAAAAAAATTATATTTAAAAAAAAAGAAGGATATTTTTTTTTTGTTTTTTTTTGAAATATTCACTTCATCCTTGCACAATTAAAT